CACACCAGAAGTTCCTACACAAAACACACTTCCTACACACGAGCTGTAGCTTGAACCCACCAGCACCCACACACCAGAAGTTCCTGCACAAAACACACTTCCTACACACGAGCTGTAGCTTGAACCCACCAGCACCCACACCTGCAAGCTTCCCTCTATATATTTACCTCATGTATCTGTCATTTCTCTTTCTCTGGATTAATGTCTGTTGTCTATCTTGTTTAGTCTGTTTTCTGTCTTGTTTAGTATATTTTCTGTACTAATACAGGCTGTTTGTCTCTCTCCATTCTCTACTGTGTATATTTCACTTTCTGCACTTCCTTTTTTTTTCCAGCTTGTTTTCTGAAATAGTCTAGCTCTCTCTTCACTGTGTTTATGTCATGTCCTGTGATACTTGTCCTGTGATACTTGTCCTGTGATACTTGTCTGGTGATACTTGTCCTGTGATACTTGTCCTGTGATACTTGTCTTGTAGTTTTCCTAATGTAACCATTTCCTCCTTGAGACGGTCCACCTTGTTGATGTACTCCATTTGCTGTGAACATCATCTGATAGTATTCCTAGTTGTCACATGTATTGCCTTGAATAGTATTCCTAGTTGTCACATGTATTGCCTTGAATAGTATTCCTAGTTGTCACATGTATTGCCTTGAATAGTATTCCTAGTTGTCACATGTATTGCCTTGAATTGTATTCCTAGTTGTCACATGTATTGCCTTGAATGTGTTGATTGTTTCTGTGTGTCTGACAGTTTTCTTCTGTCTGCTTGCTTCCCTTATTTACTGATCGCTTGTAATAAAATTTGCTAACAATCTTCTAGAGCATTAATTTGTTGTTACTATCAACATCACAGCCTCACGATGAACATTGTTAAGTTAAATGTTAACATTTCTAGGAGTAGTTGCTACATTAACACTGATAGAAGTCATCAGTTGGGCACAGATATGTCTGACAAATCTGTAGTATGAAAAATCACATTTGTTTTTGGCATTTTGATTGTCTGTATGTTTGTGTTAATTGAGTTTTGTATGTGCAGATTCTGACTTTGTTCATTGCTGGAAAGTATTTATGTAGTCCCTTGTCTCTCCATGTGTAGTTCCTTGTCCCTCTATGTGTAGTTCCTTGTCTCTCAATGTGCAGTCCCTTGTCTCTCCATGTGTAGTTCCTTGTCCCTCCATGTGTAGTTCCTTGTCTCTCAATGTGCAGTCCCTTGTCTCTTCGTGTGTAGTTCTTTGTCTCTCCATGTGTAGTTCCTTGTCTCTCCATGTGTAGTTCCTTGTCTCTCAATGTGCAGTCCCTTGTCTCTTTGTGTGTAGTTCCTTGTCTCTCCATGTGTAGTTCCTTGTCTCTCCATGTGTAATTCCTTATCTCTCCCTGTGTAATTCCCTGTCTCTCCATGTGTAATCCCTTGTCTCTCCATGTGTAAATCCTTGTCTCTCCATGTGTAGTTCCTTGTCTCTCCATTTGTGTAGTTCCTCAACCAACATCCTTGTCTCTTCATGTATGGTTTCCTGTCTCTGTGTATATGAGTTCCCCAAGGCAACAGTGTGTTGAAGTGTAACACATTTCTGCAGATGCAGATTGATGCAGGGGCGTGCTAAATCCGACATTGCTGATTCCAGATGCCGTAAAGTACATGTTTTACTTGCTTTCAGTTCCTGTTCTTGTTGACATCTAGTTTCTTCAATATTTAACCTCAGCTCAGTTTGTTGTGTTTACCCTTCCCAGTTTTGTTTCAGGGCCATTTCATTTTCAGTTGCGTTTTAAAACATTTTCATTCAGCAAAATGGGTTTATCATAGAAAGAGTCCATCTCTTGAGCCCTCCAAGGATTCCTGTCCATCTCTTGAGCCCTCCAAGGATTCCTGTCCATCTCTTGAGCTGTTATAGGATTCCTGTCCATATCCTGAGCTGTCTATTTCTGTAAATCTTTTGAACTGTTATAGGATTCCTGTCCATATCCTGAGCCGTCTATTTCTGTAAATCTTTTGAACTGTTATAGGATTTCTGTCCATATCCTGAGCCGCTATTTCTGTAAATCTTTTGAACTGTTAGAGGATTCCTGTCCACCTCCTAAGCCATCCAAGGATTCCTGTCCATCTCTTGAGCCGTCTATTTCTGTCAGTCTCCTGAAGTGTTAGAGAATTCCTGTCCATCTCTTAACCATTAGAGGATTCCTGTCCAAATGGAATGCAGCTGAAAAACAAAAGGTCCAATGTGGACATTGAGCGTGTTACAGACGCCAATACTTTAAGAAATTAAAATCTAGACCATAAGGATGTTGCAGCCCTGGTAAAGCTGTTAAGAAGAAACAGCAGAATCTTTGAGGGGTAGAACAGCAGAATCTTTGAGGAGTAGAACAGCTGAATCTTTGAGGGGTAGAACAGCAGAATCTTTAAGGAGTAGAACAGCTGAATCTTTGAGGGGTAGAACAGCAGAATCTTTGAGGGGTAGAACAGCAGAATCTTTGAGGAGTAGAACAGCAGAATCTTTGAGGAGTAGAACAGCAGAATCTTTGAGGGATAGAACAGCAGAATCTTTGAGGAGTAGAACAGCAGAATCTTTGAGGAGTAGAACAGCTGAATCTTTGAGGAGTAGAACAGCTGAATCTTTGAGGAGTAGAACAGCAGAATCTTTGAGGGGTAGAACAGCTGAATCTTTGAGGGGTAGAACAGCAGAATCTTTGAGGAGTAGAACAGCAGAATCTTTGAGGATAGAACAGCAGAATCTTTGAGGAGTAGAACAGCAGAATCTTTGAGGAGTAGAACAGCAGAATCTTTGAGGGATAGAACAGCAGAATCTTTGAGGAGTAGAACAGCTGAATCTTTGAGGGATAGAACAGCAGAATCTTTGAGGGATAGAACAGCAGAATCTTTGAGGGATAGAACAGCAGAATCTTTGAGGAGTAGAACAGCAGAATCTTTGAGGGGTAGAACAGCAGAATCTTTGAGGGATAGAACAGCTGAATCTTTGAGGGATAGAACAGCTGAATCTTTGAGGGATAGAACAGCAGAATCTTTGAGGGGTAGAACAGCAGAATCTTTGAGGGATAGAACAGCTGAATCTTTGAGGGGTAGAACAGCTGAATCTTTGAGGGATAGAACAGCAGAATCTTTGAGGAGTAGAACAGCAGAATCTTTGAGGGATAGAACAGCAGAATCTTTGAGGGATAGAACAGCAGAATCTTTGAGGAGTAGAACAGCAGAATCTTTGAGGAGTAGAACAGCTGAATCTTTGAGGAGTAGAACAGCTGAATCTTTGAGGGGTAGAACAGCAGAATCTTTGAGGGGTAGAACAGCTGAATCTTTGAGGAGTAGAACAGCAGAATCTTTGAGGAGTAGAACAGCAGAATCTTTGAGTGATAGAACAGCAGAATCTTTGAGGAGTAGAACAACAGAATCTTTGAGGAGTAGAACAGCAGAATCTTTGAGGGGTAGAACAGCTGAATCTTTGAGGGGTAGAACAGCAGAATCTTTGAGTAGTAGAACAGCAGAATCTTTGAGTAGTAGAACAGCAGAATCTTTGAGGGGTAGAACAGCAGAATCTTTGAGGAGTAGAACAGCTGAATCTTTGAGGGGTAGAACAGCAGAATCTTTGAGGGGTAGAACAGCTGAATCTTTGAGGAGTAGAACAGCAGAATCTTTGAGGTGTAGAACAGCAGAATCTTTGAGGGGTAGAACAGCAGAATCTTTGAGTAGTAGAACAGCAGAATCTTTGAGGGGTAGAACAGCAGAATCTTTGAGGAGTAGAACAGCAGAATCTTTGAGGGATAGAACAGCAGAATCTTTGAGGGGTAGAACAGCTGAATCTTTGAGGGGTAGAACAGCAGAATCTTTGAGGGGTAGAACAGCTGAATCTTTGAGGGGTAGAGCAGCAGAATCTTTGAGGTGTAGAACAGCTGAATCTTTGAGGGGTAGAACAGCAGAATCTTTGAGGGGTATAACAGGGTCTTGTCTGTGGAGAGAACACCAGGAAGTCATGTTTGATAATAGTGTTATTGTGGGAAACTTCAGGGTGACCAATTTTATATACCAAAATCTGTAGTGGATGTATGCCTGTGAATCCGAAGGTCGTAGGTTAAAGTCCGGAGAAGGCCTGGCTTTTTTTTTTTTTTGGTGCTAAAATAACATTGGCTCTCAGTTGGACTTAGCCTTGAGTGGGTACCAGGAAAAGTCCTGGGAAGTAAAGACTGGTGGGATGCTGACCACAGAACACCACTTGGCCTAGAAAAGATAGGTCTAGCCCTTGATGCCAGCTCTGCCTGAAGGTGTCAGAAAGGCTCCTGTATATTTGGGGGACATCAAGGAAGCATTATCTGACTGACATGTGTTTGGAACATCAGAAGACAAACAATCGGTTTCTATACTGGTACCTTTTTTTGTTAATGTTTAAGAGCATCGACTTCTTTGCACTTGTGTTTGATCCCATATGGCTCAGTCTCTCTCCACAGAACGGCTGGCCGCCTGCCGAGAGCATCGCACAGAGCACGAACTCCATAGCTCCGTCGATCCCCTGGTCTCTGTAAACATTGCACTCAGAAACTGAAGGTCACAGCCGGGGAACAACCCCACAACTTTCAGAGCGCAAGGCAAACGGCTTGACCACTTCACCACTGGTTACTTGAAAGTTACATCAGAAAAGGGGGGGGGGGGTATATACTGGTGCCTGCATGGGACATCAAAAGTAGAAAAAAAACCATTTATTTACTGGCAGCTGTGAAAGAAATGCCATCCTAGTATCACCACAATGATAGACGACTTGTATGCTGAACCAAGGGGATGAGCTGAAAGGTACAGTTCTGATCCACTGTTTGGTTCCTGCAAACTGCAGGACCATTGCTGGGACAGCTCTTTATTTGTATATAATATCACATGATTGATGCAGTTTGTATCATATCACATGATTGGTGTGTTTGTTAACAGAATTGTCCACTGATAAATTTGTTTTGTGAACTAAAGCCATTGCTCATTTGATGACAAAACATGTGGTTATGTCTGACAGAAGCCGAGTGCCGAGATGGAGCGGGCGTCCAGCCAGGACGATGGAGGCGACAGCAAGGGAGCTGTGGTTCAACTTGTGCAGGTATGATGTTTTTCTGTTTACCAGTGTGTAACTGTGGAGATATCTGGCTTATATAACAGTATATAGAATGATTTTGTGTGTCACATGACAGCAAAATTTAGTCATGTGTGTCGAATAACAGCAAATTTAGTGATGTTGTTTGTCACATAACAGCAAAGTTTAGTGATGTTGTGTATCATCACATAACAGCAAAATTTAGTGATGTTGTATGTCACATAACAGCAAACTTAGTGATGATTGTGTCAAATAACAGCAACTTTGATAACGTTGTGTGTCACATAACAGCAAATTTAGCGATGTTGTGTCACCTACCAGTAAGTGTATGTGTAAAACTGTTGCAGTACTGGTGTTGTAGACTGATTCTCTTGCACATTGTCTGCTTGCTTCTGCACATTCTTTGAATGTGATCAGTTTTGTCAGATGTATCTGATCATCCTCAACTGCAAAACATTTAGTTACACAGTGTTAGCCACCGTCTGTGTATGGGCTACAGACACTGCAGGGTTGGGGTTATGGCTAGTTGTCTGTGTATGGGCTACAGACACTGCAGGGTTGGGGTTATGGCTAGTTGTCTGTGAATGGGCTATAGACACTGCAGGGTTGGGGTTATGGCTAGTTGTCTGTGTATGGGCTACAGACACTGCAGGGTTGGGGTTATGGCTAGTTGCCTGTATATGGGCTACAGACACTGCAGGGTTGAGGTTCTGGCTAGTTGCCTGTATATGGGCTACAGACACTGCAGGGTTGAGGTTCTGGCTAGTTGCCTGTATATGGGCTACAGACACTTGCGAATACACACGTATATTTCTGTGTTTCTGTGTTGACCATGTCCTCATTGACTCCTGGATGTTGTCTGCATGCTGATCATCAACATATCATATCTGAATGCAGGCTAGGCCAAACTTTGCCTTGAGAAGGGTAATTATTGTTTCAGAGTTAACGTTTCTTGGACAAGTGTTTTATCATGCTGTAGGTTTAGTTACTTTGTTTGATGAAGTTTGTTTGATGATGTTTGAACAAGGGCACTTTGAAAAGTGATGCCTCCAAGGACATACTGGGGGCACATTTAACGGTGTGGGAATATTGTATGAGCAAGGGCCTGTCAAGGCATGGATGGTCATGCATATGGAAAGTGGTACATGTGCACAACAGTGTCACAAATAGCCACATGCATGGGAATTCAGTTGAAGCAACAAACTATTGTTGATTTTTAGACTGGAAAAAGGTTGTGAACCTATTTACAAGCATCGAAGAATGAGAGCGGTATATTGATGACGCCTGTGTACTGTTAGGTAGTGAGCACGGACTGTGTGAATGGCAGTACTGTTAGGTAGTGAGCAAGGACTGTGTGAATGGCAGTACTGTTAGGTAGTGAGCAAGGACTGTTTGAATGGCAGTACTGTTAGGAAGTGAGCAAGGACTGTGTGAATGGCAGTACTGTTAGGTAGTGAGCAAGGACTGTGTGAATGGCAGTACTGTTAGGTAGTGAGCAAGGACTGTGTGAATGGCAGTACTGTTAGGTAGTGAGCATGGACTGTGTGAATGGCAGTACTGTTAGGTAGTGAGCAAGGACTGTGTGAATGGCAGTACTGTTAGGTAGTGAGCACAGACTGTGTGAATGGCAGTACTGTTAGGTAATGAGCAAGGACTGTGTGAATGGCAGTACTGTTAGGTAGTGAGCAAGGACTGTGTGAATGGCAGTACTGTTAGGTAGTGAGCATGGACTGTGTGAATGGCAGTACTGTTAGGTAGTGAGCAAGGACTGTGTGAATGGCAGTACTGTTAGGTAGTGAGCACAGACTGTGTGAATGGCAGTACTGTTAGGTAGTGAGCAAGGACTGTGTGAATGGCAGTACTGTTAGGTAGTGAGCAAGGAATGTGTGAATGGCAGTACTGTTAGGTAGTGAGCAAGGAATGTGTGAATGGCAGTACTGTTAGGAAGTGAGCACGGACTGTGTGAATGGCAGTACTGTTAGGAAGTGAGCACGGACTGTGTGAATGGCAGTACTGTTAGGAAGTGAGCACGGACTGTGTGAATGGCAGTACTGTTAGGAAGTGAGCACGGACTGTGTGAATGGCAGTACTGTTAGGAAGTGAGCACGGACTGTGTGAATGGCAGTACTGTTAGGTAGTGAGCAAGGACTGTGTGAATGGCAGTACTGTTAGGAAGTGAGCACGGACTGTGTGAATGGCAGTACTGTTAGGTAGTGAGCAAGGACTGTGTGAATGGCAGTACTGTTAGGAAGTGAGCACGGACTGTGTGAATGGCAGTACTGTTAGGAAGTGAGCACGGACTGTGTGAATGGCAGTACTGTTAGGTAGTGAGCAAGGACTGTGTGAATGGCAGTACTGTTAGGAAGTGAGCACGGACTGTGTGAATGGCAGTACTGTTAGGTAGTGAGCAAGGACTGTGTGAATGGCAGTACTGTTAGGTAGTGAGCAAGGACTGTGTGAATGGCAGTACTGTTAGGAAGTGAGCAAGGACTGTGTGAATGGCAGTACTGTTAGGTAGTGAGCATGGACTGTGTGAATGGCAGTACTGTTAGGAAGTGAGCAAGGACTGTGTGAATGGCAGTACTGTTAGGAAGTGAGCAAGGGCTGTGTGAATGGCAGTACTGTTAGGAAGTGAGCATGGACTGTGTGAATGGCAGTACTGTTAGGTAGTGAGCATGGACTGTGTGAATGGCAGTACTGTTAGGAAGTGAGCAAGGACTGTGTGAATGGCAGTACTGTTAGGAAGTGAGCAAGGGCTGTGTGAATGGCAGTACTGTTAGGAAGTGAGCATGGACTGTGTGAATGGCAGTACTGTTAGGTAGTGAGCATGGACTGTGTGAATGGCAGTACTGTTAGGTAGTGAGCATGGACTGTGTGAATGGCAGTACTGTTAGGTAGTGAGCATGGACTGTGTGAATGGCAGTACTGTTAGGTAGTGAGCATGGACTGTGTGAATGGCAGTACTGTTAGGTAGTGAGCATGGACTGTGTGAATGGCAGTACTGTTAGGTAGTGAGCATGGACTGTGTGAATGGCAGTACTGTTAGGTAGTGAGCAAGGACTGTGTGAATGGCAGTACTGTTAGGTAGTGAGCATGGACTGTGTGAATGGCAGTACTGTTAGGTAGTGAGCATGGACTGTGTGAATGGCAGTACTGTTAGGTAGTGAGCATGGACTGTGTGAATGGCAGTACTGTTAGGTAGTGAGCATGGACTGTGTGAATGGCAGTACTGTTAGGTAGTGAGCAAGGACTGTGTGAATGGCAGTACTGTTAGGTAGTGAGCATGGACTGTGTGAATGGCAGTACTGTTAGGTAGTGAGCAAGGACTGTGTGTGAATGGCAGTACTGTTAGGTAGTGAGCATGGACTGTGTGAATGGCAGTACTGTTAGGTAGTGAGCATGGACTGTGTGAATGGCAGTACTGTTAGGTAGTGAGCATGGGACTGTGTGAATGGCAGTACTGTTAGGTAGTGAGCATGGACTGTGTGAATGGCAGTACTGTTAGGTAGTGAGCAAGGACTGTGTGAATGGCAGTACTGTTAGGTAGTGAGCACGGACTGTGTGAATGGCAGTACTGTTAGGTAGTGAGCATGGACTGTGTGAATGGCAGTACTGTTAGCAAGTGAGCATGGACTGTGTGAATGGCAGTACTGTTAGGTAGTGAGCATGGACTGTGTGAATGGCAGTACTGTTAGGTAGTGAGCATGGACTGTGTGAATGGCAGTACTGTTAGGTAGTGAGCAAGGACTGTGTGAATGGCAGTACTGTTAGGTAGTGAGCAAGGACTGTGTGAATGGCAGTACTGTTAGGTAGTGAGCAAGGACTGTGTGAATGGCAGTACTGTTAGGTAGTGAGCACAGACTGTGTGAATGGCAGTACTGTTAGGTAGTGAGCAAGGACTGTGTGAATGGCAGTACTGTTAGGAAGTGAGCAAGGACTGTGTGAATGGCAGTACTGTTAGGTAGTGAGCAAGGACTGTGTGAATGGCAGTACTGTTAGGTAGTGAGCAAGGACTGTGTGAATGGCAGTACTGTTAGGTAGTGAGCACGGACTGTGTGAATGGCAGTACTGTTAGGTAGTGAGCACGGACTGTGTGAATGGCAGTACTGTTAGGTAGTGAGCAAGGACTGTGTGAATGGCAGTACTGTTAGGTAGTGAGCACGGACTGTGTGAATGGCAGTACTGTTTTAGGTAGTGAGCACGGACTGTGTGAATGGCAGTACTGTTAGGTAGTGAGCAAGGACTGTGTGAATGGCAGTACTGTTAGGTAGTGAGCAAGGACTGTGTGAATGGCAGTACTGTTAGGTAGTGAGTAAGGACTGTGTGAATGGCAGTACTGTTAGGTAGTGAGCAAGGACTGTGTGAATGGCAGTACTGTTAGGTAGTGAGCAAGGACTGTGTGAATGGCAGTACTGTTAGGTAGTGAGCATGGACTGTGTGAATGGCAGTACTGTTATGTAGTGAGCAAGGACTGTGTGAATGGCAGTATTGTTAGGTAGTGAGCAAGGACTGTGTGAATGGCAGTATTGTTAGGTAGTGAGCAAGGACTGTGTTAATGGCAGTACTGTTAGGTAGTGAGCACGGACTGTGTGAATGGCAGTACTGTTAGGTAGTGAGCACGGACTGTGTGAATGGCAGTACTGTTAGGTAGTGAGCACGGACTGTGTGAATGGCAGTACTGTTAGGTAGTGAGCAAGGACTGTGTGAATGGCAGTACTGTTAGGTAGTGAGCAAGGACTGTGTGAATGGCAGTACTGTTAGGTAGTGAGCAAGGACTGTGTGAATGGCAGTACTGTTAGGTAGTGAGCATGGACTGTGTGAATGGCAGTACTGTTATGTAGTGAGCAAGGACTGTGTGAATGGCAGTATTGTTAGGTAGTGAGCAAGGACTGTGTGAATGGCAGTATTGTTAGGTAGTGAGCAAGGACTGTGTTAATGGCAGTACTGTTAGGTAGTGAGCAAGGACTGTGTGAATGGCAGTACTGTTAGGTAGTGAGCAAGGACTG